TGTTACAGAATGTGACAGATTTCTTTGCCTACCTTAACGTGTCACCCTTCCCAACTGTTATGTAGGATAGTGTACCACTGCGCCGGGTTGGAGCCTGGTGTCAGCTATACCTATATTTAAGCCGTTACGGATATGATAGTTGATTCATTATTGATTTGTTACAGAGTTGCTAATTGATGTGTAGGTTATGTGACGATAATCTCTTTCAAGAGAGATTGAGCCTGCTCTTCCCTACACAAGTACGTCAATATACAAGATACTATAGAAGATACGTCCACCAAGTATCGCCAAAACGTTTTGCCCAGAGAGCAAATCGTACCCAGCACACAGTGACACCTGCTACCTACCACCACCGTAACCAGCAAACTGCTCATCCTTTGCCTGCCTGTCGCTGATTGGCTGGTGTCCCGTCGCACCTGCCCTCCGCCTCCGCCACTCATAGTTGAACTATAGCCTATACAAGTTGACGTCTGGGCTGCAGTGCGCTAATATTGTCAGAATATCTCAGTGCTCCAAGCAGTTGACATCTCTCGCTGGTAGACTAAGCCTTGGCTTTCGTGTATTAAGGGAGGTGGCAGCTCGAAGCCAATATTCCAGCTCCATTAATATTTTATTTTGCTATCACTGTAACTCACTTGTCTTAACGTAACTTTTCATTTGCCAGTGATTATTCATATTATTTTGTTTGTTGACTTCTCTTTCATATTTTATGTGATTAACTTTATTCACGTCTTGTTTTTCTAAAGTAATTAAAATTTCATTGTTAATTTACTTGTGTTTTGTGTGTCTTCCCATTACCTTACCACAGACGAAAGCTCCAGCTTTTCTCTTTTTTTTCTATTATGTGACGAGACCCTGCCCCTAGCTTTTGAAACAGCCGAACACCAACGCTTTACCGTCACAGTTAACTAATTTGATAGTTGGCTGAGTTTGACACTAAATGGATAGCTGATTTGCTAGTTGAGTTGACAGTTGAGTGATAACTGATTTATATGACTAGTTGAGCCGTGTATTGAAGCTCTCTTTTTGCTGATGAAAGTATCAGCTTTAGTGTGCATCAGTTATGTATATATGTTATTTTTATGGTGACCTAATTATATGCCCCAGTAAACTGGCGTTGTTGTAACCACCCTTTTCTATTAATTCCCTTAGACTCTTGATTGAAATTGGCAAGGCTTTGGTTGGCCAGCGATGCTGTGTTCATGACACCAGGCGGCCTTGGAAGGGTTCGAAATTGCGAGAGATGAGGTCAAGAGACACCTTTTGGATCTGAAGGTGAGAAAGGCTGTTGGTACAGATGGGATCTCACCATGGATACTGAAAGAGTGTGCAGAGCCACTTTGCTTGCCACTCTCCATAGTGTATAGTACGTCACTGGAAACAGGAGACCTACCAGAAATATGGAAGACTGCTAATGTGGTCCCGATATACAAAAAGGGTGACAGACAAGAGGCACTGAACTACAGGCCAGTGTCCTTAACTTGTATACCATGCAAGATGATGGAGAAGATCGTGAGAAAAAACCTAGTAACACATCTGGAGAGAAGGACCTTCGTGACAACCAATCAACATGGGTTCAGGGAGGGTAAATCCTGCCTTACAGGCTTAATAGAATTCTACGATCATATGACAAAGATTAAGCAAGAAAGAGAAGGCTGGGCGGACTACATTTTCTTGCATTGTCGGAAAGCCATTGACACAGTACCCCATAAGAGGCTGGTACATAAGCTGGAGAGACAGGCGGGAGTAACTGGTAAGGTACTCCAGTGGGTAAGGGAGTACCTAAGCAATAGGAAGCAGAGAGTTACAGTGAGGGGCGAGACCTCAGATTGGCGTCAAGTCACCAGTGGATTCCAACAGGTCCTGTACTCGGTCCTATCCTGTTTCTGATATACGTAAATGATCTTCCAGAGGGTATAGACTCATTTCTCTCAATGTTTGCTGACGATGTCAAAATTATGAGAAGGATTAAGAAAGAGGAGGACTGCTTGAGGCTTCAAAAAGACCTAGACCAACTGAAGGAATGGTCGAACAAATGGTTGTTAGAGTTTAACCCAAGGAAATGTAATGTCATGAAGCTAGGTGTAGGGAGCAGGAGGTCAGATACTAGATATCATTTGGGATATGAAACTCTTCAAAAGTCAGAGAGAGAGAGAAAGACTTGAGGGTTGATATCACGCCAGACCTGTCCTCTGAAGCCTATATCAAGAGGATAACATCAGCGGCATAAGCCAGGTTGGCTAACATAAGAATGGCATTTCGAAAGTTGTGTAAGGAATTATTCAGAACTAACATATGTATACCACATATGTCAGACCAATCCTGGAGTATGCAGTTCCAGCATGGAGTCCATATCTAGTCAAGCATAAGACTAACCTGGAAAAGGTTCAAAGGTTTGTCACCAGACTAGTACCCGAGCTGAGAGGTATGAACTACGAGGAGAGACTACGGGAATTAAACTTCACGTCGCTGGAAGACTGAAGAGTTAGGGGGGACATGATCACCACATACAAGATTTGTGTTCTAAGATTTATGTGTTATGATTGACAGTTTAGAGGCGGATCGAAAGAGCAGAGCTCAACCCCCACAAGCACAACTAGGTGGATACAACTAGGTGAATACACACACACACACACACACACACACACACACACACACACACACACACACACACACACACACACACACACACACACACACACACACACACACACACACACACACACACACACACACACACACACACACATTGGGTTGTAAACATTGGGTTTGTAAACAAGCACCAACATGAGTTCTGGACAGGGAAATCATGCCTAACAAACCTTTTAGAATTCTACGACAAAGTAACAAGGATAAGGCTGGGCAGACTGCATATTTCTTGACTGCCAAAAGGCCTTTGATACAGTACCGCACATGAGACTGCTACACAAACTTGAGAGGCAGGCAGGAGTAAGCACGGAAAGGCCCTAACATGGGTGAGGAACTACCTAACAGGAAGGAGCCAGAGGGTAATGGTAAGGGGCGAGAAGTCGGACTGGCGAACAGTAACGAGTGGAGTACCTCAAGGATCGGTGCTGGGCCCAATCCTCTTTCTAATTTACGTAAATGATATGTTTACAGGAGTGGAATCATACATGTCAATGTTTGCGGATGACGCAAAATTAATGAGAAGAGTTGTGACAGATGAGGATTGTAGGATCCTCTAAGAGGACTTAAACAGGTTGCAGAGATGGTCAGGCAAATGGCTACTGGAGTTCAACACCAGTAAATGTAAAGTTATGGAAATGGGATCAGGTGATAGACGACCAAAGGGACAGTACACAATGAAGGGGAAACTGCCTACCTGTAACGATTCGAGAAAGAGACCTAGGAGTGGATGTGACACCTAATCTAACTCCTGAGCACATATAAATAGGATAACGACAGCAGCGTACTCTACACTGGCGAAAATTAGAACTTCATTCAGAAACCTAAGTGAAGAGGCTTTTAGGGCGCTTTACACTGCCTACGTGAGACCAGTCTTAGAGTATGCCGCGCCATCATGAGGCCCCCACCTGAAGAAACACATAAGGAAACTGGAGAAGGTTCAGAGGTTTGCGACGAGGCTTGTCCCAGAGTTACGAGGGATGGGATATGAAGAGCGTCTGAGGGAACTGAACCTTACGACACTAGAGAAAAGAAGGGAGAGAGGAGATATGATAGGAACATATAAAATACTCAGGGGAATTGATAAAGTGGAAATAGATGAAATGATCACACGTAATAATAACAGAACGAGGGGACATGGATGGAAACTGGAAACTCAGATGAGTCACAGAGATGTTAGGAAGTTTTCTTTTAGCGTGAGAGTAGTGGAAAAATGGAATGCACTTGGGGAACAGGTTGTGGAAGCAAACTCTATTCATACTTTTAAAATTAGGTATGATAGGGAAATGGGACAGGAGTCATTGCTGTAAACAACCGATGGCTGGAAAGGCGGGATCCAAGAGTCAATGCTCGATCCTGCAAGCACAAATAGATGAGTACACACACACACACACACACACCAATATTACAATCATTCCCCAAACACCGAATCAAAACTTTCACACCTTATCAGACACACATGTTGCCTTCCATTTGCTCGACCCGGAAGAAAATCCCAGCTAGCAACACTCTCTCTAGCCGGGTAATAACCCAGCAGAATGGCCCCAGAATGACAGAAGTAATTGCCTATTACATTTCTATCAGCTTCAGCATCCGTCTGCAGATCTCTGTCAATATCTTGTCACTCGTGAATAATTTCCTGCATGGCGGGGAGGCTACAGGTGTGTACAGGTGTGTGAGACACATTTACCAGGGATTGCTTCGCTGTTCATCTCTCCAGGGCTGCTTGTCATGGGAGGGTTGACTGTCACCACCACCACCACCACCACCACACCTACCACCAACACCATCACCACCACCACACTTACCACCTACCACCACCCACCACACCTACCACCACCACCACCACCACACCACACCTACCACCAACCACCACCACACCTACCACCAAAAAAACACCACACCACACCACCATCACCACCACCACAACACCTACCACCAACACCACCAACACCACCATCACTACTAACACCACCAACAACCCCACCAACACACCCACCACCGCTACCAAACCCACCACCACAACACTACCATCACCACAAATAACCAGCCCCACCACCCCCGCCACCAGCACCACCACTACACATGCAGATGGTATTACAAATAAAGGGATAGAGTTACAGTAATAGAGTGGCATAAGAACGACCACACATGATCACGATATCAGAAATGAAACTGATAAGTGCGATTGGAACTGCAATCTTCCCCCGACGATATCAAGTAGTAGGGTGCACGGAATAGAAGGTAGTGCAGCTCTGTTCCTACAGCTACACTGTTGCTTTGAAGTAGTCAAATTAGCAAAGTAATCCGACCATCCTACGGATGAACACAACAAATGCAATGAGCAGTGCATAATGGTAACGGAAAAGGCGGCAATAGTGGCAAGGGAAACAGTAGGTAAAATTCAAATACTGGGGGACTAACCGCTGGGAAATGGACTGGATAATAAAGGACCCTCACGAGGGTGATAAAACATGGAGAGAGGAATGACTGGTGGACATGGCAAACACTTCTTAAAGCTGCATATTACAGAACCAACAAGAGGACGAGGAAAGGACCTACCCACAACAAGAGTACGAGGGAAGGACCTACCCACAACAAGAGTACGAGGAAAGGACCTACCCACAACAAGAGGACGAGGAAAGGACCTACCCACAACAAGAGGACGAGGGAAGGACCTACCCACAACAAGAGACCTACCCACAACGACGGGAAGGACCTACCCACAACAAGAGTACGAGGAAAGGACCTACCCACAACAAGAGTACGAGGGAAGGACCTACCCACAACAAGAGTACGAGGGAAGGACCTACCCACAACAAGAGGACGAGGAAAGGACCTACCCACAACAAGAGGACGAGGAAAGGACCTACCCACAACAAGAGTACGAGGGAAAGGACCTACCCACAACAAGAGTACGAGGAAAGGACCTACCCACAACAAGAGGACGAGGAAAGGACCTACCCACAACAAGAGTACGAGGGAAGGACCTACCCACAACAAGAGTACGAGGGAAGGACCTACCCACAACAAGAGTACGAGGGAAGGACCTACCCACAACAAGAGTACGAGGGAAGGACCTACCCACAACAAGAGTACGAGGGAAGGACCTACCCACAACAAGAGGACGAGGAAAGGACCTACCCACAACAAGAGTACGAGGGAAGGACCTACCCACAACAAGAGGACGAGGGAAGGACCTACCCACAACAAGAGTACGAGGGAAGGACCTACCCACAACAAGAGTACGAGGAAAGGACCTACCCACAACAAGAGCCAGCCCGGGATTCATCAACCATTGACGCATCAACTTACCAACCTATACATCTTTTCTCAATCTTTATTGGCTTCATTTACAATAGTTAAACAGTTTGCGAGCATTCAAAGTTTCCAATCTAATGATATTATTGGTATAAACAGCCTCCTAGCGCTTCAGAGCTAATAAACGATTAACAAAATGTAAACAAAGTTACAGAAAGGTTCATAACAGTTGCGTAACTGCTGGGGTGAATCCTGTCGCTGATGTTTCCCAAAATGATGCAGATGTTTAAAATTAGATAATGAGATGTCACTACAAGTCAGCGACCACTGCTCTGTCATTCTCAACGTTATCTTGAGATGATTTCAGGGCTTAGTGTCCCCGCGGCCCGGTCCTCGACTAGGGCTTCCTTCTTGTTACACCTCCCCAGGAAGCAGCCCGTAGCAGCTGTCTTAACTCCCAGGTACCTATTTACTGCTAGGTGAACATGGGCGTCAGGGCGAAAGAAACTCTACCCATTTGTTTCCGCCTCCACCGAGAATCGAACCCGGAACCTGAGGATTACGAATCCCGAATGCTGTCCACTCAGCTGTCATAGGAATTCAAACTTGTTGAAGAAGGTGAGAAAATACAGACGTGAAGATTACAATAAGATGCTGGTTTTCCTTTATGCAACTGAGCTGCGAAGGAGAAATACAAGGAATGGCAGCAAATGAAGTGATGAAATTCATTGTTGGGAAATGTGTCAGTTCAACGGAGCAGTTCACACCCCTCAAGATGGAGGTGGACGAGAAACATGAAGTCCCTGGCTCAGTAGTCAATACAGGAAAGCAAAAAAAAAAGGACAAAAATACCTGGGAAAAAGTAGAGAGAACTAGGAACAGGATACAACAGAGCGGCAGGAAAGACCCAGAAATGAATACATCCAAGTTAGGAGGGAAGCCGAGAGGCATTTTGTAAATGACAAACAATGCTGCACAATCAAAGTACCAACCAAAGCAATTATATAACCATATAAGGAGAAAAACAATAGCGTCAAACCCTTTACTCAGGTTACAACCAGGGTGGAGACCGAGGCTGGAGGATGAAATGCCGGACAAAAAATTGAAGACATTATAGCCACCTTAGAAGAAGTAAGAAAACACCTGAAGGGGCTAGATGTGACGAAATCAATGGGTCCAGACTTAATCTGGACCCATTGATTCAGCAGCCAACTTCAGCAGACCATGGCTGCTGAAGTTGGCTACAAAAGTATTTTGTGACCATTACCAACAATTTTAATAAAGCTCTTGAGACTAGAAATCTTCCTAAAGTCTGGAAAACCTGCCAGCATCATGGACCAGCAGTCACACGGTACCTGTACCACGGACCAGCAGTCTCACGGTACCTGTACCATGGACCAGCAGTCACACGGTACCTGTACCACGGACCAGCAGTCTCACGGTACCTGTACCACGGACCAGCAGTCTCACGGTACCTGTACCACGGACCAGCAGTCTCACGGTACCTGTACCACGGACCAGCAGTCTCACGGTACCTGTACCACGGACCAGCAGTCTCACGGTACCTGTACCATGGACCAGCAGTCTCACGGTACCTGTACCACGGACCAGCAGTCTCACGGTACCTGTACCATGGACCAGCAGTCTCACGGTACCTGTACCAGGGACCAGCAGTCTCACGGTACCTGTACCATGGACCAGCAGTCTCACGGTACCTGTACCATGGACCAGCAGTCTCACGGTACCTGTACCATGGACCAGCAGTCTCACGGTACCTGTACCATGGACCAGCAGTCTCACGGTACCTGTACCATGGACCAGCAGTCTCACGGTACCTGTACCACGGACCACCAGTCTCACGGTACCTGTACCATGGACCAGCAGTCTCACGGTACCTGTACCATGGACCAGCAGTCTCACGGTACCTGTACCACGGACCAGCAGTCTCACGGTACCTGTACCATGGACCAGCAGTCTCACGGTACCTGTACCATGGACCAGCAGTCTCACGGTACCTGTACCATGGACCAGCAGTCTCACGGTACCTGTACCACGGACCAGCAGTCTCACGGTACCTGTACCACGGACCAGCAGTCTCACGGTACCTGTACCACGGACCAGCAGTCTCACGGTACCTGTACCACGGACCAGCAGTCACACGGTACCTGTACCACGGACCAGCAGTCTCACGGTACCTGTACCACGGACTAGCAGTCTCACGGTACCTGTACCACGGACCAGCAGTCTCACGGTACCTGTACCACGGACTAGCAGTCTCACGGTACCTGTACCACGGACCAGCAGTCACACGGAACCGGTACCAAAACCTAACCAACCTGATGCTTTTCATTCCATCTCACTGACCAGTTGCATGTGCAAAACCCTTGAGAGAAAGGGCTTAATAGATTATGTATGAATTAGCGAGAATGGATATAGGTGGACAATTATAACAATGGATACGGGGCTATCTTACCAACCGGAAGTCCTCTGCACTGTTCCAAGGCTACAAGAGTGAAACCAAATTAATGAAGAGAAACTAATCACTTATGGACTAAGAGACAAGCAGTGTATTATGAAGACTAATAATAACAAACAGCAGCTCCTCTATTACTCTGTAATACTTCCATTGCTCAAACGACTATGTATTAGTGATAAGATCTACCATTAATCTATAATTATTTACTATAAATATATAGTTCTTGAAATAGAACACTATGTAACTAGCTGACATTGTAATTATAAGGTGTGAAGGATATGTGAAATTGTTAATGTAATAATCTCCGTTGAGGTCATATCTTGAGGTTATCTTGAGATGATTTCGGGGCTTTTTTTTTTTGTGTCCCCGCGGCCCGGTCCTCGACCAGGCCTCCACCCCTAGGAAGCCATTAATTTTTTCGTCCGCTCACTTTCATCATATAATTTTCCCAAAAAGGGGATTAAAAGGTTCTTTTCTGGTCGCTACTATTTCACATAAAGGGATTAAACGATCGCCTCCAGTCATCCCGAAATGCACTTACCTCGGTAAATCGCACAGTCATCCCCAATGGTCAATGACATTATTAGCTAGCCAGTCTTTCCCCATTAACTCCATTTTCTGTGATAGCGTATTTAACACCATTTTCATATTTATTCCCATTTTCAATTTTTCTTCCCCCAAAGAGATTAAAGGGCTGGCTTCCATTTTCCCTAACCCCTAAGCTGCTCTGAGCTATTTGGCTTTCAACACCCACAGGTGCAACAACAACAAAATTAAAAAGTTATTTCGTCTTATGAAATTGTTCATTTGTGTTCCCTGATCACGGGAAAAATAATAAAAAATCGTAGATGGCATATTTAGGCCGCAGTAGGGCGGGGACGTCTGGTAAAAAAAGAGGCGTTGACAGAGCGGGAGTCTTTGTGGCGGGAGTTGCCACAAAGATATTATTAACTAATTATTTAAATGTCTCTGATTGCTTTTATTTTTTGCAGTAATATTATTCAATAGTGCGTAGTGTGATATATTTATATAATAAAATGTGTGAATCATCTCTGTACTCAAAATGGAAGTGTGCATATTATTGATTCAATTATTATGTACGTAAAACAATAAACAAATACTTTTGCGGATATTACACTATATACACAGGTTATATATAAGTACCTGCATGTTTTGTTCACCATAACGAACCACTAAGTTGATAGGGTGAGTCAAAAAGCAGCGAGGAGTGGACAGCACACACCAGCCAGCCACTCGCCGCCTCTCCCTCCCTCAAAAACACCTCACTCGCCAACATCCTACTCCCACCATACTGTATTTGCTTTTATTCACTATATACAGACGTTATATATAAGTATGTATATGTTTTGTTCACCATAACCGTTCATCTAAGCCGGTATAGTGCACATAGAGATAGTGGCCACCTTTACACTATATATATATGTCGTACCAAGTAGCCAGAACGTCGTACTCAGCCTACTATGCAAGGTCCGATTTGCCTAATAAGCCAAGTTTTCATGAATTAATATATTTTCTCTAATATTTTTCTTATGAAATGATAAAGCTACCCATTTCATTATGTATGAGGTCAATTTTTTTTATTGGAGTTAAAATTAACGTAGATATATGACCGAACCAGACCAACCCTACCTAACCTAACCTAACCTATCTTTATAGGTTAGGTTAGGTTAGGTAGCCGAAAAAGTTAGGTTAGGTTAGGTTAGGTAGGTTAGGTAGTCGAAAAAACATTAATTCATGAAAACTTGGCTTATTAGGCAAATCGGGCCTTGCATAGTAGGCTGAGAAGTGCGTTCTGGCTACTAGGTACGACATATATATATATATATATATATATATATATATATATCTTATAATATATATATATATATATATGTCGTACCTAGTAGCCAGAACGCACTTCTCAGCCTACTATGCAAGGCCCGATTTGCCTAATAAGCCAAGTTTTCATGAATTAATTGTTTTTCGACTACCTAACCTACCTAACCTAACCTAACCTAACTTTTTCGGCTACCTAACCTAACCTAACCTATAAAGATAGGTTAGGTTAGGTTAGGTAGGGTTGGTTAGGTTCGGTCATATATCTACGTTAATTTTAACTCCAATAAAAAAAAATTGACCTCATACATAATGAAATGGGTAGCTTTATCATTTCATAAGAAAAAAATTAGAGAAAATATATTAATTCAGGAAAACTTGGCTTATTAGGCAAATCGGGCCTTGAATAGTAGGCTGAGAAGTGCGTTCTGGCTACTAGGTACGACATATATATATATATATATATATATATATATATATATATATATATATATATATATATATATATATATATATATATATATATATATATATATATATGTCGTACCTAGTAGCCAGAACGCGCTTCTCAGCCTACTATGCAAGGCCCGATTTGCCTAATAAGCCAAGTTTTCCTGAATTAATATATTTTCTCTAATTTTTTTCTTATGAAATGATAAAGCTACCCATTCCATTATGTATGAGGTCAATTTTTATTTATTGGAGTTAAAATTAACGTAGATATAGGACCGAACCTAACCAACCCTACCTAACCTAACCTAACATATCTTTATAGGTTAGGTTAGGTTAGGTA